TTCCTCCGGTCAGATGCGTGGAGGCAAGCCAGTTGACAGAGCTGTTACTGGAGGTTCGTATTGGCAAACACTTGCTTTCCCGTTCTAATGCATTTTTTTTAACAACCACTATAACTTTATGTGACTTAGACACCGACTACTGTGAGCAAGAGCCGGATAGTGTTGTCATACACCGAACAGAACGGAATTGGTGAGTTTGAACTTTGGACTGTTGTGGTGCTAGCAGCTGATGCTAATTGGATTGTTTTGAGTTTACTAATATTTGTTGGATAACAAATGTTTTGAAGCTATACAATCTGTATATAGCAGTTGAACTATTTTTTGTTATATTCTTATTGATAAAATATACTGTTTATTTAATTATTTATTTATCTATCTATAAATTGTGTACACAGGAACAAGAATAACTTAATGTATTTAGCTCAACTGGCTGATATTTTCATATTCTTGTGATTTCTTATTGGCCATGTTTATTTGATGCAGGCCAGGTGACCCTTTTTGGGTTTAAAAAAGGATGGCCAGCCAATAAACGGCAAGGAGCAGAAGTCGTTCTGCATTGAAGCTTCCACTTCCACTGGTCTGGTAGGAAGTTATCAAAGATTATCCAATCACACTGATTTCCACATTCATACACACCATTCCCCCGTTTATGGACAATAGTGCTTGGATATCTCTAATGCACACTGCATAAATAAAATTCATAGATAAAATTCATGGACTTTCTCCCTTTCAGAGGGGATCAGTGTTTTTGATGTTGATGTGTGTTATTTATAGGGGAACATTTTTTGTTGATTTGAGAATCTATATTGCTTGATAAAAGGTATAGGATTATTTAATTGTCTTTATACACCCCAATTGGGTTTTTTGATTAATTGCACCGCTGCAGCTGGAGTGCTTATTGAAGTTTTCCCTTTTCTTTCCTTGTTATTTTCCTTTGGTTTTGGTTAAATACATGGTACCTGCAAAAGCATTTTGTGTTGTGTGTGTGTGTATTTATTAGTTACTGCCCATGAGCTCCAGTAGCAATTCCTAAATATTTTGACTAATAATAACCCAATATTTCACTTAATACCTAGCATGTATTAATTCATTAGCGCCACTGACACACAGTAGAAATTGAAAATCTTTAATATCAAGAATTGACACTTTTAAAATCGGCAACAAACGGTTTTAGCATTTTCTCCTCCTTTGTCTTGCCTGCAGGATCAGACCTGCCGCTACAATGCATCAGGCATGGCAGCCCAGTGCAAAGGCTACAAGGAGATCCCAGTGGGTAATGAGCGCGCGCTGGCTGTTGCACTCTACAAAGTTGGTCCAGTGTCTGTGGGCATCAATGCGCAACAGAGCAGCTTCCAGTTCTACAAGCATGGTCAGTGAACTTCTCATATGTCTGGTCAGATGAAATTGTTACCTGCACCTACTTCATATAAGGGAAGGAAAGTGTGTGGAATAAAATCCTAGAATTTAAGGGCCTGTTTAGTCAGGATTTCTTAATTAAATATGAATTAAATAAACTAAACATGGAGTTCACACCTTCATTTTGAGCAATAAACTTTAAATTAGGCAGCAGTAAAATTTAGTTATAATGGTGTGTAAAAGCTAGTAAAACAATTAAACATAACACATCGACAACTTTCTGGTTATATTCAACATTAAAAAGTGTGCGAGGTACATCGTTTATGCACTGTTCACTAATGCAGCTCACTCTTTTTTTTCTCTCTCTCTCTGTTGTGAACCCAGGTGTTTACTACGATCCCAACTGTAACAAAGATGACGTCAATCATGCCGTACTGGCAGTAGGCTATGGAGTGAACACCAAGGGGAAGAAGTACTGGATTGTCAAGAACAGGTGGGACATGTCACTTGTCTGAATGGCATCAGGTGGCTCAAATGTCCACTAAAATTAAGTGTTGGTTG